TTAAAACTTACATTTTTAGGATGGCTTTAGAAATCAGCCATGTTGTATTTATTTGATTGACTCAAGTTATACTTTGTCTTCAATCTGTCTAATATATTTCAATACATGTTTTCTATCTGCTCTGTGTAAACACGGCTGCAGTTCAACCAAACAGTCCCTGAAATTTGTCGCAACTCATGGCTTCTTAGTTGCACTGACGAGTACAGAGTTTTTAGTTTTTTCACAGAACAGTTTAATTTAAGCACATTTTTAAATGAGACGTGTTGAATAAAGATGATTTTGATTAAATATTTTAAGCTTAGGTTTACTTTCCTTGTGGAAAATCTGATGATTGTGTCTCTATTTACAGTTTCTGGCTCAGATAAATGGTATCATTTTGCAGATTTTTTGTCATCATCAGGTTTTGCTGTTTACAACTAATGTACTAATGTGTGTATCTGTATGTTTTTGGAGTTTAGATCTGTGTCTTGAGAGGGAACGGGAGGCATTCAGGATAGCCACAGTGGAGCCAATTTATCAGCTCCGGGATGACCTGCGCTTCAGATTGGGTGAAATACAACTTCAGCAGCTCGCTGCACATCCATCAAACTGGCAACAAGTAAAACAACAGGTACCTGTAAGATATGAAATCAAGATGTGAGTGAATGTCCAGTCAGAACTTTAATACAGAGCTTACTTTGCTGAAAGCTGTTCAGAACGCGTCAACGATGTATAGGATGATGTAAAGGACATCATTTTTAACGCACATCTTACAAAAACGAAATGGTTTAGCTTTTAGAAATACTAGGTTGCACTTCACCACTGCAGATGTCCAGTTATCAGCAAACCATTTGGCAGCATTTTATTCTGTCAGCACAATGATCAGTGACTCTCAGCTGTGCACACGGTGATCTTAGCTTTGTGCACAGTGTTATTTACTGTCTATGAAGCCCTTGTTTGTTAGATATCCACAGCCCCCTAAGTCATCAATTCTGCCTTTGACTCTCAGAGGCTTCTTGCAGGCTCTAGAGATGAATGGTGAGATTAAGGAGTCTTTAAAGACAGACCGTACTTGGAATGAACCGTCTGCCAGCCATTTTGTCGGCTCTGTGTGGCTCACTCATGCTTGTTTCTTTCCCATGACCTCCTCTTCTCTTGTTGGCCCATAGCCCCTACCCACCTGATCACACACACACACACACACACACACACACACACACACACACACAATGCTTCTCTTTTTTAGTCGTTTTTTTTTTTCTCATCTTTTGCCCTTTTCCATATTTCTAATTTCACCACCTTTCTTTTTTATTATTCGCAGCAAATAAGAGCAGTGGGCGCTGCGTAATTGCACTTCAGTCTGTGAGTGTTTTAAATTAAAACTCAGGAGTCTAAAATACTAAAATACTTTACAGAAGGAAATCAAAACTCTAAACTTTCTCTGCACACACACACAGAGCTCCATCTAAAGCTAAGCATTCTCATTCTTTCCTAATATACGTGCGGTTTTCCTTCGGAGTGGTGGAGCACTGAAATCTCTTGCTTACTGTTATTTTAACCTTTGTATCAACGATGTATTTTTTGTTTTAAATTTACGGTCCCTCCTTAACATGCAAAATTCGATCCATGCTCGCAGCACCTGTGAGTATATAAAGTCTCAAACTCATTTCCTGTGTAATAAAACAAAATGTTGGCTCTTGGCAATCTGGTTGGAAAAAACAATATCTCAATATTTCTAAACTTTTCAGAGCATGTAGGGAGTAGATCTATGAATCTGATGCTCTTATTCCTGCTTATTTTGACACAAGCAGCACCGCTACTGAAGTCACAAGGACATTAGAGTTACGTAACATGGCTTATTTTGTTAGCAAAAATAAAGATCTTGTTTATTCTGTCATCATTTTACCACAGAAACTGTACAGTTTATTACCTCTGATTCAATACACCCGAAGATGCAGTGCTGCCTCCGACTTTGAAGTGCTGAAGTCTGGAGAAACTGGTGTAACACGTCAATATCCAGTGTGCAGACTGAGTGCGAAAAAACACAGTTGGCAAGTGTCTAGCCATGGCTGAAGAAACGGGTGCTGGTGTTCATGCGATCTCTGCAACGGCTAGAGACTAGAGAAAACTGAGACAAATGTCCTGAGCGAGAGTGTGCTGGACCAGAACCATGCAAAGCCACATGAGGACAGCGAGTTAGTACACATCACTTAAGGCTTGAAAAATCCAATTCCTTTTGTTGCACTAGTTTTTTTTTCTGAATGGTACACAGCCAATTGTCTCTGTCTTAATACAATCAGAAAGATGCAGCAGCGTAGTCTTTGTTGTTTTTTTTCCTTCCACAATCTTTCCTCAAATTGGCAAGTCAATGCAGTAAATGTGACTACTCCTTTAGTATTTGGATCAGTAAAAATACTTTCTGAAACTTTAAAGCCTTATTACTGAGTTTTGTTTTGTAAACCAAAAAAAAAGGGCACCATTATTTGATAAGCGTTGTCTTTATTTCTAACTAGTTGTTTTCCTCCTGCTGATATCTAGCATTTAGGAAAATAAGCAGTTACTGATTGCTTGCTATTACTGAATCACTCTGACAAGTGTTTTTCTAATCTGGATGACCGAAACAACGTGGGTGCTGATTTGTTTAAGCTGCAAGAATTTCATCAGAGAGTCTTCTTCACAGCATTATTAATATCAGAGGGATTTTTGGTTTCTAGCGTGTTGTCTCCAGACAGCATTAGGTGAGAATGCTTGACTGACTGATGTGCTGGTTTTCTTGGGTTGTATTTAAGACATGTTTGTGGTTTTATCCTTGAATCAACAGATAAGCTTTGTGAAAGACCAGCAAGATGACATCAGCGCAAAACTTCATGCAGAGTACCTGAACTTGGAGGAGGAGATCACGGGCCTTGGTTTGGAGGTACATTTTGCCATAGATATGTATAATCAAGGCTAGGTATCTCATCCGCGCTGTCGGCCAATGGAATTGCACGGCCACACTGGCGGCCATCTTGCTACGCTCACTCATCCATAACATTGTGTTGTCGTGGTGCATGTACTTTTTAAATAACCATAACTTGCTTAATTTTCTACCAATTTTCAACCGGTTTGGTTTGTTATAAACGTCAGAGGTGTAGTTATAACACTGCACTTATGGATAATTATGTTACATCCTCACGGCCAGCAAGCATTAGTATTTTAATTATTTTGTATTTTATTTGTATTTTTGTAATTTGAATTGTAGCCACATTAATAACTGTTTGTAAATCCGTCAAGATTTCAGCGAGATAAGAGTATTTACATTTGTGCAGATCACTCACCTTCCTTCAGGTACCACAGGTTCCGCCAGAGAGCTTCCCCATATCAAGATGGCTGAAGGGCGATCCCGTTTGAAACTCCGCCTAAAGACATCTAGCCTTTATTATACATATCTATGCATGTTGCACTGCTGGCTCTAGAAATCCTATGTTCCGTTCTTCTTTAGCAGATCCCCAAATACCAGAGGGAATGAACATTTCAACATAAACAAATAAACATTTCATTATACAGATCTATGCAGAAGTTTGGGTACATGGGCCAGTAATGTATTTTGTTGATTTGTGAAGTAAATAGACATTTACAAAAGTCTAATATTAATGCTCGTCAATCGTTAATTCACTGCTCCCTTTTATTTAATTTGAAAAACAGAGTTTTATAAACCAGCCTTTTTACTGTTCATGACTGGCTGCATTGTCATTTGCATCCAAAATGTTGCTGGTAATATGTAGTGGAATCCATTTTTCCTTACATCCGTGGAATGATTTCTGTTCCACTGGCTGTCACAAAAACCCCAAAGCAGAATATTTCCACCACCATGTTTAACAGTTAGCAAGATGTTCTTTTCAGTAAATACTGCTTTTTCTTTTCCACAAACATCTGTCCACAGCAATTATTTGATGAAAAAAAAGAAAAAAAGAAAAGAAGAAGCTTATTTTTAAATATCTGTTTGCTGCGGGGGTTGTATTTACTTCTTCTCACTTCAGAAATCAACACAAGATGTAATTTTCCCAGATGCCCAAACCTTCACATATAACCGTATATCTCATATTCACAGTTGTACAGATGCTGTCAAAGTTTTGTCTTTTTCAGAAATATCTAAATAGTACTTCAGATAATTTGGTGAACACAGAAGACATTCCAAAGGAGGTTTTGGATGCCGACTGCCCTTACCCAGACCTGAAGGACTCCCTGATCCAGGCCTTCCACTCCCTGTCAGAACGGTATCAGAGCAGGTTGCAGAATCTCCAAGAGCAGCTACAAGGAACTGACAGGTCAGTTAAAGTTTGCTTCTTTTCATACTTGTAAGTGCATTGATTGAATGAGAAAATTTGATTTGTCTAGCTAGTATGAAATAAATGCATGATGGCAGTCCCTTCAATATCTTCATTAGTCCTAACAGAAATAAGCTTTTAATTATTTTTACCTGTCTGCTTTCATAAGCACTTGTAAAAACAGAAGTTTGGTGAAAAGATTAAAAAGTCAGCAGGGCATCAACACCATATAGAGACACACAGTCACTTCACTCCTCAAAGGCAAGCTGTTGCAGAAGACAAACTTTTCTCAGCAGGAGGTTGATTATATCAGCGTCTCCGGGCTACTGCATAACTTGATTTTCATTTCCATGTGGTCAGTTTCATAACCGTGTTACATATGCCTCCGCTGCCGGTGTGTACACTTCGTACATGCAATTCGGTGACCTGTACAGGGACACGTCATTGTATTGTTTATTCTTTATTGGGAGTTCTTCCTGATCATATACTTTCGGGCTGAATTGTTTTCCAGGTTCTGTGGTTGGCCTCCAGATGAACACCAACACTTCCAGTTCACATTGTCGAGATACAATCATGACACACCCAACCACAGAGCACTCTGCATGGACATGCTGTCGAGACTTTTTCCTGAGAAGAGCAGACAAGAGCTGGTAAGACTTTTGGCAAAATAAAATGTAATTAGCTGCTTATTAAACGGAACAACTACATTTATGAAACACAAAAGTAGCATTTGTGTAATACTTACACAGGTGCTCACTTAAATACGTCTTCCGCTTCAAGCAAATTCAAAATGTGCAAGAAGTTTTTAAATGTAAACATTACCGACTTTGATTTCTTACCAGTTATGATCGTAATATCTTTGGACATATCATCTTTGGTTCTGGGAACTTCCAGTGGAAATTAATCACTATTTTCTGACATTTTTTGAATGATTAATTAATTGACAAAATTGTACTAATACATTTTTAAAAATTAATTTATCTAGGGAGGTATCGCTGAGAGCAGTGATCCGGTTTGTACTTATGGTTACAGTAACTCCTTTAAGCTGCCCAATACTGACCATTGAACAACTGGGGGTTATCTGCCTCGCTAAGGAGCAAATTTTATCTTGCGGTAAATGTATCCCCAGGCAGAAATCTTGGCTCCCTCTGCAGCATGCCCTTTAAGTTTTTTTGGTTCATGGCTGTACTCTTCACACAGCACACACACACATGGCCTCTTACATGCCCATGTTAAGGCACAATCTTCCACACATCCATCTAAATATGTATCCCCTCCTCCTGTCAGAAGCAGCCCTGCAGTGTGACTCCCACACTCCCTGATCAATGTAGCTTAGTACCCCGAACCGAGCACACCGACACACAGATAAGCCCGGACAATGATCTGCTCAGCACGCTGCAGGATGTGCCATGTCACCGACTGTGGACAATTCGCTCACGCCACCGCCTCACATTGCCATGACAACCGCCAGGCCCTCTCTCCTCCCTCGCCCGCACCCTGAGACCTGTCCTCGTATCAGTTCCAGCTGGGTGCTGCATTTAGAGCTGTGATCGCTCAGCCTTGGGGGTGGGGGGGGGTTGCAAGGAGGAGAGATGTCTTTCTCCACGCTCTTCACTTTCTCAGAAACACTCTCGGAGTTGGTGTAGCCCCGACTCCACCTAATTCAGCTATTAGTCATAATTAAACTGGCTTGCGAGCGGTGGATAATGAGTGTGCGTTATGGATTGGTTTGCTGAAACCCCTCTGATTAGGTGCACAAATGCTAATCTGCTATCAGTGTTTGCGGGGGGAAAAAAAAAAGAAATCTTGATTTTGTGCAGGCTTTTTTTGGGACATTTTTAAAATCTAAATCAGGTAAATAAGTACAGACATTGATTAGTATTCAGTAAGGTCAAAGTATGGTCCCTTTTCAAACTGAGAAACACAGTGTAATGGTGTGACTGGCAGCGCTGTGGTTTGGGCAGATATTTCTCTTATATTTGTATTTGAAAAAAAATGATTCCCTATACTCCTCCAGACATATCCGTAGATTGGAAATTCTATAGTTAGCACTTTAATTATAATTTTCTTACGTTTCTATGGAGTCAGCATTTTAGCTCCAACCTTTCTTATGTTGGTTTTTCACTTAAGAGCCTGGAATGATGTTTCTGTTGGAGCTGTAAAATGTTGCTCACCTGCCATTAAGGTTCCATCCGCATGCAATCATTACAGGATGATGGCCTCATTTTCTGTTGCTTTTGTCAATCTTCTTTAGCTAGATAGAAGGTGTGAGGCAAAGGGCTTGTGCAGTGTAACAATTTAAAAGCATTGGTAATAAATCACCTCCAATTTTCCTCCAATTTCTTTTTCTGATCGTGCAGAGAAATAGCCAAAGGGAAGCGGAGCAGAGGCAGAGCATTTGTAAGTGACATTGACTCAGTTTGCTCTCTTAATCCCGAGGTATTCGAAACAAATCATTTCTTGCAGTAGTTTGTCTGGCTTGCAATTGCCGTCCAGTCGCAGATTACTGTCTCAGCAGAGTCACTTTATTCTGTATGGAGCAGTATGTGCACACGTTTTCTGGGTTTCATCTGCTGACCCAAAGTGCCATCAGTCTCTCAGTTTCACTATCAGGTGGTGGTGCTCCAGCTAGCTTTGAGTGGAGATCTCCCTCTGCTGGATGGGGCACTTTACTGTCTATTATGTCAAAACAAGCAGGGTGCCGACAGAGTACCAGCAGGATTTCATAGTAATTCCCCCGTAATGTCCCACAGCAATAGTAGAAATAATTCATACCTCTTGCTATTTCTGACTTCATCTGGCTACTTTTATTTTCTCCTCTTTGCACCACTCAGTCCTCATGGTGACAGCACGCCGCAGAGGGAATGTGGATGCAGCCGCTGAACTAAGTGTTGTGACACTTTAAGTGCGTACTGCAGACACAGTGCAGTGAACGTGTCCACGCGCTTGCTTGAGTGTAATGGCTAAAGTACATTCATGCGTGTGTGCAAACAGATCGTGCATGATGTGGGCAAACATGCTTAGCATATATGTACACACCTGCTCTGTTCAGGCTTACCCGCTTGTGCTAAACACAAGGAAGGCAAGGGTAGTGAAGGAGAGGACAAGAGAAAGTGAAGAATAAAGGGTGTCTCTTCCTCAAGTTCTAAAGTTGTGCATTAATAAACAGGATTTGCTTGACTGCCTCTGGCACTTCTGTTCCGTTGGCAGGTCTGTCAGCTCACTCATTTTCAATAAAACCAGTCAGCCGTCTAATGCCTTCCCACCGTCAGTTAGCCACTATTAGCCCATAGATGAATATCATTCCCTCTGTTCCAATGAAGCAGCCAAGTGGTGCAGCCTATGTGAGAGCTGACACAATGATGAATAGCTACAGGCAGCCCTCACACAGAAAGGAACTGTTTTTCTTCAGGACATTTCAAAGCCAGGAGAGAAGGAGCATTTTAGACACCGGGAGAATTAGATGTGACACGGATCCTATGGTCCTTTTTGGTGCTACACCATGCATAATAAAGCAGAGTTGCAGCAGTACTTCAGTTTTGTACACTCTGTTCTTCATGTTTGTCTTCCCATTTTTTGCTTAAAGGGATGATTTTCACTTAGTGTTTATTAGTGTAACTGATCCACTTGACATGCTGATACGTTCAATAATGCCTTTGTGCCACCCCACATGCCCAACAATGCTCTGTCCATTCTCATTGTTCCTCCAGATGGACCACGAATGTGTGTGGGACTTGCAGTGCTTCACCCAGGCACAGCTGAGACTAGTGACCCAGCAGTGGCAGAGAGACCAGGAGGAGCTGCTGGTCAGAGCCCTGGCCACACTGCAGGAGGCAAAACATGCCCACCAGGAGGAGCTGGAGCTCCACAGAGGTCGCCAACACCAGCAGGACATCTGCTTGCATCTCAGAGAGAAAGTTAGTACCTGCTCTACCTTCACACCAGGAGCTGTCTCACATGTTTTAAGAACACTTTCAACTTCACGAGATGGCTCTTTTTATGTTCGCAGTTATGCAACAGCACCATTTAATCCCTGCAGGAGGCAAATCTATCCCTTTTTAATATTGCATTTGTTGGGAAACTTTTCCAGTAAAAAGTCTCCGTAATCTACTTTTCTACCTTTCTTATTTGTTCGGCACACTCGCAAATATTAGTGTTGACTGGTTTTAGCTGGGTTCCGGTGTATGTAATAACATTTGGTCCTTTTGCTACATCCCTTTTGAACAATCACATGTGTGGCTGTGATAGTGTGATGTGTGAGATGCCAGACAGGCAGCAGCGTCTGACTGCCTGTTCCAGTACAGTATATCTGCTGATGAGGCTGTATGTTATGCCAGGCTGCCTGACAGCATCTCGCGCTTTAGCTGCCACTTGGGATGGGCTGTGAATGCAAACAAGCTAATAAGAATGGTCTTGCAAACATGATGTTGCTGTCTCCGAGGGGTGCTAGTTCACATTCACACAACAAACAAGTTACTCATGTGAACAAATCCATGTGCTGTTGATGTAGCGCTGTACAAATTGAATTTGCTTTGCCTGTGTGGTTTTTTACAAAAAAAATCTGGCGCTCATGTCCCGTGGCTGATGTATGAGGTAGCGCTGGTACGGGCCAGCTCCACTACAATGCTGCTGTCAAATACCTGCACAGCGGTTTTGTTCTGCTGATTTGCAGGTACAAAGTTGATGTCATCATGTCTCTATTTTCAGTGCTTGCAACCCTACATTTTGCAGGAGTTTGCAAGAGACAGAGAGAGAGAGAGACTTCTGGATATGTAGTCTTGCTCTCATTATAGAAGAGTAGTTTATTTGTGTGAGAATTTATAATATTTACACCACAAACTACACATATTTAAACATATGGGAGGAGGATTTATGGAAGTCGGGTATGTTGTGAAATAACTTGTTTAAAGCTTCCAACAAAAAATCAACAGCTAGCAGATTCTTTCACTAACAGAATACATCATGTTAACAGGGCTTGTAGTTTTTTTTGTTTTTTTTTCTCCCCTGCTTTTATTGTGCAGCTGATTCTTAAATTTAATTGGACTGTTTTCACTTTACCCTTTGCCGCACACTGTCATTTTCAATTCAAGGGCACTGATCACTTTCCATTTAGCTCTGGCAAAATGGAGGTACTTCAGATACAGCTGCTGTGACTGCGACATAATAAAGTTATGCATTTTTGAAAGAAAGTGGAGCCTTTGACTTTCCGTAATTAAACCCGTAGTAACAAATAAATAAATAAATAAATTGCATGCGCCCGACTTTTCTGAGTTTTATCTTCGTGGCTCTCTGAGGTAATAAGAAAACTAAAAATCACACAGACATTTTTATTCCCTTGACTTTTTTTTTACTCAAGGAGTGCTTTTGCACAAATGTGAGTCTGTGCGGAGGTTCAGATGGACGTCTGTTTGCATCCAATCTCCCCTTCCACTGCCTTTATCATTGCAGCACAGCGACACAGCGGCGAGTCGGGATGGATTCTCCTCCCATTTCGTGTGCTTCTTTAATGCTATGGTTTCTGCAGCTGCTCCCTCTGATCCAGACAGCCCCTCTTGACTCTACTGTGAGTCATTCTCTTTGTATTTAATGTCCTGTGTAGTGTAATGTGCTTTAGAAGATTGGAGCAATGTAACCGGCAGGTCACCTGTAAATGTATATACTTTGAGGAGCACTCATGGTCGTCATGAGCTATAATTATTCTCACTTGTTCAACATTATGCTTGTATTTTACATACACGGCTCCTTCTTGTACCCCAGAGAATACTGGTGCAGCAGAAAGGTCAAAATTTACCCAGCTTAGGTACACTTAAAAAATAGAAATTATATAATCCAATAGGAACTCGTGCAACAGTTTATCGTAAAAACTGATTAAGAAAATAAAGGATTGCTGTTATGGTGCTTGTTGCTTAAGGTATCATGTAGTAAGGCTTCCTTGTTATGTTTTCTAGCTGAGATTATATAAATAACCTTCCACATCTCCTCTTCTCCATGGGTCCAGATGAGCGCATACACAGGATGATTTTTGGTCAGTGCTGGTCTGATTCTGACCTCATTAACGAGCGCGAAGCTGTGTGCTGCCATCCCACTCAGACGCTCTTCAGGGGAAGGTGTAGTGGGAAGGAATCTAGGGTAATTGATTTCAGACTTGGCTTGCTCTCCCCTGTTTTGGAAAGGGCAAGGCTGTCACGCAGACCACAGCTTCTTCCTGAGACCCGGAGATGAGTGGCTGGACTCGTGTGTCCGAACACAGATGACATTGCTGATCATAAAGCAGTTGTTCAGTTTTTAAAAGGAGCTCCAGATCAATATGCTATAGGAATTGCAGAAGTAGTTTATTGCTAAAGGTATAATACAATGCATGATTGGACTAGTTAGCATTTCATGCATGCGGCATTGCTTATTTCATTCCAGTTTATCACTGAAAGACAGACTCTTCTTTTCAAATCATCAGCTGTTTGTTCTGTGCTATTGTGGCTACTGTAATTAGCTGGTATTGTTCTTGGTGTTACTGTTCATTCCAGCCTTTTATTCTGTCCTTGCTTTCATTTTGCCTCCCACTTATATCTCACTCCCAGGCATCTTTGATGAGTGATTGTGTTTTCCACATGAGTAAATAAAGCCTGAAGGGATGGCAGATTGTTGCAACATGCTCAGGTAGCGAAGGGACGAGCAGGCCAACAGGACAACCGATACAACAATTGGAAGAAGGAAGATTTTCATAAGATGGAAGGTTTTCTTATATTACAAAGCCTCCTTTTTTTCATTTTCTAGTCTCCGGGGTACTTTGCTAAAAAAAATCCAAAACTAACAGATTCATTTATGGCCAGATTATCTTTGTGCCCTTCCTGCAGTAATCAGGATATTCTCTAGGCACTGTGTTAGCAGATCCCCTGTCAGTGAGTGTTCGTGACTATCAAGTCCCTCTTGTGGCTGGATGGGCACAGCAGAGTCTCAGTAGTTGTGACAGTGTGTGGGCCACACAATGTATCCGCTGACAACTCTCTGAGGAGTTAATTGCTCATATGTGTATAATTTTCCTTTGCAAAGTGATGTGCCGGTTATGGACCTCAGGAATATTCTGATTGCGCTAGCTGTGGAAAAACAACCATAATTGCATGGTTTCATTTTCCTTATCTCATAATGTACATTAGTTCTTGTCCCTTTAAAGATTTTGCGAGTCCAGCGTATCATTAATGTCACTCAGTAGAGTGGCCCCTCATATGGAGGAGTCGTGCTGTTCTCTCTCTCTTGCTTATGCCTGTAATTCATTGCCAAGGTGATGTGTATTGTTGCAGTAGTCCATACCTAATCTGTTTCACTAATCTGTCATATATCTAAGGTTTGTCATTAAATAACCTGCAGTAAAAAGTGACAATGACTGCTGCACCGCCCCCCTGACAGACGGCATTTAACTGTACAGTTGTATTAACAAAGGCTTTCAGCTGGCTGCAGTGCTCAGATAAAAAGACTATCACTCTTTTGTTATTCTGACATCTCCGCAGTCTTTTTTTGTGCGACGGCGAAAAAGGATGGTGTCCCATTTCCATCTGAATTCACAGAAAATGAGATTCCAGTGACAAATTGCTGTTGACTGTACATAATGACCATTTTATTCTCTTTGTGCGACGTATAATGCCTCCTCATCGCCGCCTAAACAACAAGTTACACAGAATACATTCAGACATTGGAAGTTTTAAGGATACATATCAGATTATTGCACTGCAAATGAACTTCACAATTTTTACTATATCAGATTATGGAGGGGAACCGACAAAGACAGCACTATCTGTCACATGTACGTCTCAAAGAATATGCTCTACAGACCAACCTGCCAGGTTCTCTACACAGACCGTCTCTCGTGGGTTCCCAGCATAAAACATGCAGGTATCTTATCTGCTGCTGACTGGAGCTTGATGGATGGTTTAATTATGTGCTTGTTTTTCTGTATAAAAAGGAAAAATAAAGCATCTCTAATTGATAATATGGGTTCTTGTGGTTACATAGATCGATCAGTTTTATGAGTCAGTGCAGATATAAAGATGTTTTTTGAATAGTTGTTTTATGGATATTTTAAAAATGCATTTCTATCCATTTGTCCACATGTGACAGAAACTAAGAAGCGGAGAGACACAGGATGAGGTCACATGTAGGAAAGACTGCAAGACTGAATTATTATTCAGTGCATTCTATACAGTGTATTAAATCCTAGTTTATTAGTCTCCCGTGGCTGGGATATCAGACATGGTGCAGACACTCCTGGAACTTACTGTCACTATTGCTCATGTCTCCAAATTTTATGGTTAGCTTTATACATCCTGAGCACTTTTTCTAAGGTCAATAATAAAGTACTTTTGCAAGAAAAAGGGGCTTTTATTAAACAATCTGTACCAAAACTTAAGCGTGCCGTCGGTTTTGTATGTCTGATGTTCTTGTCGGGTGAGCATCAGTAATCACTGGAGTCATTACTGTGACCTTTAGCAAACACAAGATTATACTACACAAGGCAGTATTGTAATCAGCTTAAATAACAAAGAGATGCACGTTACATATTGAAACACACACAAAAAAATGAGCAGCGGGAAGAACAAAGCAGGACAGGCCCCGGACAAATTAAAAACCATTAACTTCTCAAGCGTTCAGCAGCATGAATACTGACTAAACCGCTCACTGTCACTGCTCAGGATTGATCTTCTTGATACGAAAATTGCATATCGAACCAAGTTTCAGGAAAATTGAGCCTCTAAACGTCGGCACGAGATAAATATTTTGATTTCTAAAGAAGAATCGCGTCGCATCCCCGGCTTCGACACTGTTAAATAGAAGTGGATTAGAGGCTGGATTGTTTTAAGTCCTCTCTCAAACCCACAGCTGCTGCTTTTTCTAAAGCAGACATCAAGTATGATTGACTTGATGATACTGCTGGTGCTAATGTGTGTGTGACCATGTTAATTTGCAGTTCGTTCCCGTGGGGATTTCTAAGCTCCCTTCTGATAGATCTGTAAATCTGTCCGCCCGGTCGGAATGCAACACTTCAATACCCGGCACGCCACAGAGAGGCTGCTGCATAACGAACCTGTCACTCACTCCCCGGCAAATGTTGGACTGCGTGTGTGTGTTTGTGTGTGTGTGTGTGTGTGTGTGTGTGTGTCTGCATGTGCGTGTGAGAGTGAAAAGTTTAGACAGTCTGTTTCCAGATATCTAGCTGGGTGAGTGAGGATTGCGGTCTCTGCAAGCACACGGCGCACTCAATTTCAAAACAAAAATCTTTGTCCGGGATTTGTCAAGACACTGTAGCTCGATGTTTAGTCATTACCATATTTTCAGAGACATTTAAATGGCGCTTACACACATTCTTGGGTTCACAAGAGCTCTTCAGACACAGTGACAAAAAAATTCAGTCATCAAGTTGCTTTCAAAAGCAGACTTTTGCTTTGTAAACTAAAACGTACTGCTCAAAATCTTTACACTTCAACTAGGCGTAGGTGAGAGTAGCAATTTTCTTGACTTTTTTAAAACATCTGATGATGCTTTGCTTACGAGAATGATTTTTTTTAAATGCAGCACTCAATTACAAGGATTTTCTTTATGATTCAGGTTTGCTTTAAGGCCCTGAAGTGATCTATAAGTGCCAAGTTTGACGCCTCCTCAGGGGTTCATGCCACATTGGTGCAGCTGCTTGAGTTGTTCTTTCAAAACAACTGCTGATGGACAATAACCAGCTTTTTTGTTTCTCCCTGGTGTGTTTTCGCATGCGTGTTTGTAGCTGCGGCGGTGGCGGGCCCAGCAGGAGGAGGTGGCTAGGCTGGAGGCAGCTATAGCAGCTCGACAACAAGAGGAGGAGGAGGCCCGGTTTAAGAAGGAGCAGGAGAAGGAGGCTGCCGTCAGGTCGCAGAAGAAGGAAAAAGTACATTTCTTCTTCACACTTCATCAAGTTGTGTTACTTCCTGTTTACTTAATATCAGCACCTGTGCATGTGTACAAGCTCCCTTTGTATGATCCCATCCTTTTTTAAGACTTCTATGTGTTCAGGAGAAGATGGTTACACACGCCTTTTGTCAAAACGTGTTACGATCAAACCAAGTTGAGTTGATATATTATTTCATAAGCAATCTACATACATACATACAATATAGCAAATATTCTCCCTCGGTGATAGATGGTATTTTTTCCTGAGCTCATGAGATCCATCACTTATCTTGTGCATGCAGGTTTATTGTCTTGTGTAGGGGGGGAAAAAAATTATTGTGAATTCATATGCTTCATTATCATGCAGCCTGCCCACTTGAGATGCACACAGCCACCTCAAGATGTAGACAACTTAGTCAATCAAAAACAAAAGGCTGTCCACAGCAGGGATGATTCACTGTGTATTTTACCCGACAACAGACTTACATAGTTTAGGGTTCGATGGATATTTATGGTGTGTTCAATTTAACCTCGAAATGTGGAAAAACAAAAGTAGTAATGGCTCGGCTTGATCCAAAGCACCAAATAGCAACAATTTTACAGAAAAGCTGCATTTTAAAAACACCAAATTATACCTAGCATGTCAGCTCATCCTAAATGGATGCGTGTATGAAGGATTTCTCAAGGACAGAATTTGGTTGACTGCCTTCAAAAACCCACTGAAAGTTATCGTGGGCCATTTTATATAAGCTCTGCCCACTGGGACTTCAGGAGATTGGTATGAAATAAAACTATACCTCCAAGACGGGTGACAGGTTTTTAATATGTGGATAAAATTACACCGGTTTCAAGTTTCTTACCATTTGTGTCCCAAGGAATTAGCAGTGAGCACGCATGGATATCACATTGAAAGCATACGTTGTCACAATTATCTGGGTATTTTGATTATTCATTTTCGCTATTGAATTCACAGGTACGACGACAGCACAATGTGTGTGTGTCTGAGTGTTTAATTAAGTCTCTCCTCAGGGTCTGCTAGGAGAGTATAGGCAACCTGAGACAATCTCTGATTAATGAGAACATTTAGGCCTCATTGGATTCCATATAATTTAGCACAATAGTCTGGCAGACATTGAAATATCATCTCATTCTCTCTATTTACACTTATCTGATTCCCGCTCCGTCTCAATCAATAGGACATGATGATCCTAAGAGTTGTGTGAGAGTTTAGCGGGAGTGCGGCGATAGTTTTTGTTAACTTTTTTTTTGTTGTTATTCTTTGTTGTTTTTTCCCCCCCAGGTCAGACAGTTTTATTTAAAGCAGAGCAGGAGGAGGGAGGTGCTGGAGCAGAGGGATCTAGAGAGGCTTGCTAATCTGAGGAGCGTCATGGAAGAGCAGGCAAGGCGAGATAAACAGAGGTGAGCGCTGAGCCATCGGACCTTGAGCTTTCATTGCTGCCTAGAGCATTAAAAGTTGTTAAAAGGATGGGCTGTATGAAAGAAGTGGAGGAAGCCACTGTGACGTCACCCCCTGGTTTGTGAATTTCTGAAGCCTCGAGTTTGGTATTTTGGTTTTTTAGAGCTGGAATTGATAAGAGGATGGAGCTGGGGAGGAGATGGGCCAGGAATACAAACGATCATTGTTAGCCTATTATTGGTTAAGTTGACCTTTTTATCAGGTCTCGACCAAATAGTTGACATATGAGTTAACACCCCCACAGGCAATAGTTAACAGGTTAGCAGGCTGAAGCATGTAGGATGACTTATGGTGGCTGCAACAAACATGAATGTCTCTCTCAAGAGCCATTTTTGATCCCACTGTGGGAAACTGTAGAAAAACAGTGGTGTAACATTGCCAACTCCATGAATGAGCTTGTAAGGTAACACAAACATGATTCCTATTTTGAGGTGGGTATACACTCATAACATAGTTCTGAATAATATATTTTTAATTTCTGTCAACATGTCCCCAGAAATCTTACACTTTCATTTTCAGAGCCTATGTCCATTTAATTTATGTAAACAATTGATAAAAGACAAACTCTAAATATGTGTGATTGCCTGCCAGTACCTATAATGTGTTTGTCTTTTTGCTTTTGTCTTGAAGCCACAAACAACCTATTTATCAATGGGTCCAAAAGTCTGGGAATACTGGTGAAGACGCATCTAATTTGTTTTTTATTTTATTTTATATTGGTGTAAAACATTTAATGATAAACTGTAATATCAGCTTACCAATTACCAAGCTTGAGTCTCTGAAAAATCACCATGAATTTCAGAATTTCTAAGTGTTTATTTACCACCTGGACTGTAAGGTGGTTCGGTGGTTAGCATCATTGCCTCGCAGCAAGAAGATCCCTGGTTCACGTCCCGGTGAGGACACCCGGGATCTTTTCTGCGTGGAGTCACCATGTTCTCTCCTGCGGCTTCCTCCCACAGTCCAAAAACATGTTGAGGTTAATTGGTGATTCTAAATTTTTAAATTGTCCGTAGGTGTGAATGTGAGTGTGCTTGGTTGTCTGTCTCTAAGTGTAGCCCTGTGATAAACTGGTGACCTGTCCAGGGTGTCCCCTGCCTTCACCCTGAGTCAGCTGGGATAGACTCCAGCCCCACATGACCCTAGTGAGGATTAAGTGGTGTATAGATAATGGATGGATGTTTATCCCCTTTTGCTCTCATGGCACCGACACTCTATGGCCCCCACCAGTTTGTTGTGCAAGACCTGATAACCTATGCTATCCAAGCACGTTTTGATAACGTTCCAAAAAGCTTCTTGTGGTATCAGGGTCACTTGGCTGTCTCAGTGTTCACGTGCCCCCATAAATATTTACTTGGGTTGACTTTAGTTAATTGTGGAGGAAAGTTCATGGCAGTGGGCACTCCCTGGTCCTCTGAGGTGTTTGGGTTCAGCCCCCTCTGCTGCAGTGTGAATCCTTCTACACAAAGATACCAACCAGAGGGTTTAGTATGTCTCTGAAGAAAGGAGCGGTGCTTCTTCTTGGTCAGACTGTAGGGGATTTGGTGCAGATGTTCAACTGCAGAGTCGGCAAAACACTTCCAGACCTGAATATTACCACGGTGCTGTTACACTGGGGGTTTTATACACGACATATCGTTTTCTTTTCTGTTTGCGTCCTCGCTATAAGTTCCCTCCTCTGCTCCCTTCTTTCCAGTCATACACTGTGACATACTGGTATGTCTCTGGATACAACCATCCATTCATCCTTATAAACCCACGATTTGATGCTGAGAAAGCTCCTCTTTGCAAGTCGATGTACTCGAACAAGCTTCTGATGAAAAGATAAAATTCACCTGAGTGTTATCTAAACGCTGCTTCACTGCAAGGTCACAACTCAAGGAAATCTGTCCTTTTGTACAGCGGAGTTAACATTGTCAGTGCTACAGATTTGCTTAAATGAGATCTAGAAACAGTGTAGTATCCTAAATATTTCTCCATCGTACATGTCACAACCTCTTCAAATGTTTCTAAATCCTCAGGCTTTCCAAATACTTCCAGGGCTACAAAATAGATTTTCGATGTGCTATCACACTTTTGGAACCCACTGACTGTATAGATATTATTCTGCCTGACAGGGAATGTGGGATAAGAGAGGATGGTATGGCATGCAGTAAAGGTCCTTGGGTGCACTGCTGCAAATTAACTTTTACTGTTAACTATTTGTGCTGGTAAAAAATATATATATATAATTACTGGAAAAAAACACATGAGAATAGAATATTACTGTTTCAAGCTTTTTGATAGTTGGCACCACATCCTGTTTTAATCTTGATCACCTTTACATACCACATGGATATTCATCCATCTATTAACTGTTTAGTTAAATTAGGTAGTTTTTATTATGAATGTATGTATGAATACTCTTTTAAACTACCTTAATTCTCTCAGGCATACAATTTAAGTAAGTTTGATCTTTAACATCTTCCTTTATTTACATCTAAGCTACTTGACTGTGGGCATAACACTATTATTATATTGTCACCTTGAAAATAACAACACAGATATTTGAGTGGAAGGCAACAAAAGTGAGAGAATGGCTTACTCAGTTATGAATATGTCTCAGAATTTAATCACATATGAATTATTTGATTATATTAACCCTACAACCAAAGCCCTGGGCTGCAAGGTGGTGCGGTAGTTAGCACCCTTGCAGCAAGAAGGTCACCAGTTTGCACCCTGGTGAGGACACCTGGGATCTTTTTGCGTGGAGTTTGCATGTTCTCCCCGTGCAGCGTGGGTTCTCTCCAGGTTCTCCGACTTCCTCTCACAAAAACATGTTGAGGTTAATTGGTGATTCTGAATTGTCCGTAGGTGTGAGTGTGCTTGGTTGTCTGTCTCTAAGTGTAGCCCTGTGATAGACTGGTGACCTGTCCAGGGTGTCCCCTGCCTTCACCCTAAGTCAGCTGGGATAGACTCCAGCCCCCCATGACCCTAGTGAGGATCAAGCGGTGTATAGATAATGGATGGATGGAAACAAAGCCTTAATACACTTAAACATACTTGATACAAATCTTCAAGGATTCAAGGCCTTTATTGGTCACAAACACAGTAATACATGGTTTAATGCGCAGTGAAATGCTTTATGTACCTGTTCCGCACCAAAACAATATATATGAGTATCTATATATATGTGTGTGTGTGTGTGTGTGTGTGTAGAGAGAGAGAAAGGGATCAAAAATAAGCCGAAATAAATCACATTTTCAAACAGTGCAAAAGGAGATGAAATAAACAAAGAAAATAATAATATTATATACATGCATATATACAAATAGGAATAAAATGTGTGTTTTTATCTTCTTGGCATCAGTCTGCTGCGCTTGTTTATGCTGCAGAGGGAGACGCCAAACAAACATAGCGTACATAAAATCTACAGACAGTGCCAGCTCCATAAAACATACTTTAAATATCCTGAAATATGTATTGCTCACTTCAAATATGCAACAGCGTTTGGAATTCCCTTCTGGTTTCAGCCTAGATGAGAAAAAAAAATGCTGTGATACCAACATAATAGCACCATTACTACCTTCCACTAATATATGCAATTATTAAACATCCACAAGTCCAGCTCTTGCCGAGTTAGTGGCGATGTCGTGCTCTCTCCACTCCCACACACAACCACAATCGTCTGTGATGCTGCGTCCGATCAGAGGTGCAACACACTTAGTATACCATTTAGCCTATGTCGTGAAAAATAAAGGATTCAGCCTTTGAAACGTCTCCTGCTTTTTTTGTGGCGTTTCCCTGCAGACCCGCGCAGTGACTAGCATTCTTACCATATAATGGTGTTGACTTTGGCTGTGAGAATGAACTCTGGCAGGAATGAGAACAGGAATCATGGTGGGCTGAGAAAGAGATAAAAACAGATGATGGGGGAGAAACTGCTCTCTAGAAGCTCCATAAAACCCTCCACAGCCCGGAGGCCTGCTGCTTCAGGAGCGATTGGTAATGTTGATTGTGGCAGTGGCAGAGTAAGAGAAGAGGTTTTTTTTTTTTTCTTTGTCCACACTCTCTCCGCTCCCTCTAGGGTGCAGTTTCGGGCTGATGTGTTGCAGCAGCGGAGGATGGAAAAGGAGGCGAAGGAGCTTGAGCGGCAGAGAGAAGAACAAGAGAGACAGAATCGTCTGGAAGCTCTCAGAAACCAGGTGGATCATTATCTGGTCTTAACACTTTCAACCCCTCGGATTTGCTCTATCAGTTGAAATCACTCACAAGGGGTGAATTGGGCTCATCCTTATCTGAGTAAAGGCGTCACTGCCACCTCATGGCAGTAAGTAAGAAGACAATTGAATGTTATCAATATATTAAATGTGTCTTTCCTATTTATCGCAGGTTGTGGTGGTGGCAGAGGCAGACCCGGAGAGGATGATGGCAGATACGGAGGCTTGGAGGAGTCGACACTTGAATGTAAAGGAGTTTGAGCTCCCCAGGCCTCTCTATAGTATTAACACGTACACAGACACACAGGTGAGGCACGATAACATCTACCCTCCGATAACCTTCACCTTTTGTTTGTAACATTGCAAACATTCTGTAGCTGCATGACCATTTGCCCCCAACGTCCTTATCTGTGCTCTGTACTGAGCCTGCAACACCTCTTTCCCCGATTCCTGTTTCCTTGATTGTACTCGGTCGCCTGGGTTTCGTTTCGTCTTGGGTGGGAGTGACCGGTGACCCAGTGCAGGGGAAATTATGCAAACCAGGTGGCTGGTCAAACACTGTTTGTCGTCGTTTCAGCACACAGCCTTGACATCAAGGTCGTTGAATCAGTCAGTGAACTCAGTCTGCGATCGTGTGGTTTAGTTTTCACTGTTGGGTTTTAGCTATTGTATAACACAGTTGGTAACTAATGATTGTCTAACGATGACGATCTTGTCCCTCGGTGCCAAACTGTGAAGAATTAGTGATTAACTTCATTTCAAGTGTTAAATTTGCAGTAAACTATAAGAACAAACAGTGGTAGCATCGTGGGTGTGATCTAATCTGAAACAGCTGGAAATGTATTAATTAGGGTGGTTTTTGTTTTTTTTAAACCCTGTCTTCCAGATTGTGTCTGATCCCAGAGTGCGGGTGGAGCAGGCTCTGCGGGAGGCGGGTCTGCACCACAGCCGCTACGCCAAAGAGGTTCTGTCTGTTATCAAGCCCCCCAAACCACCTCGACCAGACACAAAATCAATACTTAAATTCTGACTAAGGTTTTGTTTGGGTCATAGTATGACGTCAAACCAAGCCTCTTTCTAGTATTGAGCGCTATGTGGCAGGTGAATAATACAGTAAAGACCATTTGTTGCAGGTGTGCTGTTTGCTATAAAGGTGGCTGTACTCACAAAGCAGCTTTTTTATGTACAGTATTGACCACAAAGTGACACGGTGCAACTGCCATTATTGACTTTTAATGTTGATTTTATACTCTGTAGGACCACATGAGCAATGCAGTATCACACAGTGTTTCTGAGTGATGGCAAACATTTACATCCAACGTAAAATGACATCAATCAGCAGTTATTTGTCAACAGCATATGTTGTGACATTTGCATTTGCATAAAGACAAATATATAGTCGAAGCTTCTGAATATAATGATGTAATGGGTGTCTAAGTATTTATTAACACATTTAATGTGCAGATTCCTTGCTGGCGGCTCTACTTCATCCTCTTGTGTCATTTAAAATCACTAAGGAACAAAAATGGCTTTAAAGCACGTAAGAAGAAAAACCTTTAAAAACTGGAGGCAACTGACAGATTGCAAATCTCCTCCACTGCTTTTTTTTTTTTCCCCAAAAATACAAATGTTAAGTGGGTTTCCTGATCCTCCAAACATCCCCTCAGGATTTAATCTTTATATCTGCAGTTATAGTTAAACTGATTATTGTCTGTAACTTGCATCCTTAATAGACACAAACATAGAAATCAACATACGGAACACATTATTTCAAAGGTTTATGTTCTCTCACACAGATATCAAAGCATTAAATATTATAAGATAAAATACATACTTACATATATAAATGCAACAGGCTTCATATTTTAGCTTCATCAGATAAATCATAAAAAGCTGAACTTTTACACAAGTGTGTAATTCACATATCAACACGTTAAGTACATTTTTATATATATATACATATCCACATATCAGTTGAAGCTATATACAGTCTTTTAGAGTGCGGGAGGTTTCAGGCAGCAAGTCCGAGACGTTTCTTGATAAAGTGGGAAACCAGGACTTGAGGTCTCTGCTGGTACTCCACCAGAACATCATGAGGGGAAGTGATCTGGTCTCCCTCGAAACGGTTCAGCAATGCGACACAGACCACAGCCGCTGGAGAGAAAAAAGGAGATTATCAGGGCCAATTTCCTCAGTCGTTGTGATGGACGGCATTGGTCAAAGCAAAACAGGACACACATCTCAGGTCTTAGCTGACCAATTATAAAAAAAAAGGTTCTACTTATGAGAATGTAACAGCCAGCAGTAACCTTTGCCATTATAACGTTCAAGATTATGTAACAACATACCTTTGAGGCCACAGACGCGGCACATAGCAGCAAAAACGGTGGACTCCATTTCAATATTCCTCACTCCGGCATCATAAGCTTTCCTCAGATACTCCAGTTTTTCCTCGTGGGAGAAGGAGCAGAGAGCGCCGTCAAGTCGGCCCTGACCTGCAAGGGCACAGAATTCATCAGCACATGGTGAGTGGAGGTGACCTTACAGGTGAATTAAAGGTGTCATTAAAACACACACACTAACGAGATGCTGTTTTTCCTGTACCTTCGTAGAAGTCGTGGGTGCACATGGTGTTTCCGATCACTGTCGGGATGTTCTGCAGCTCCGAGGAGCACTGCAGAAGCTCGCTGGCCACTCCCTCGTCCAGCTCGGTGCTCCTGGTGATGACTTTACCCAGAACCACCTGCTCGAACTGGGGGCGGAAAGAGTAGTCCACTGCTTTTTCTGTGATCACCACCGTCCCTGGAGCCAGACCTAGAGAGAACATAAGGCACAATTCTTTTTATATTAGAGGAACACATTAACAATCCAGTTCACTGTATGTAAAGCTTTCTGTCGCCTTTAAAAAAAAAAAGCTATTCTTACCGACTCCACCAGATGTTCCCAGGCGAAACAAGACCACGTCACGGCACTGGGCATGGTGCAGCAGTTTGATGAGCTCATGCAGCATAATGGAGATGGAGGGGACACCCATGCCATGCTGTAGTATAGAAAACGGATTGAATTTATTTTTTAAAAAAGAAGTGAACTACCTATTCTTTACACCAACATTTTAAAAAGTCTACATGGCCAGTATGCATCATCTTCTGTGAATTAACGCTTACGCTTATGGAGAGGACCGGTCCCACTTTGTACATGCAGTAGCGATCAGTTCCCTCGCAGATATCTCTGAGCTCTTCTGGGTTTCCGGGCAGATTAAGCTCCTGGTGGATGAACTGGGCGAAAGACTTCATTCGATTCGCACTGCCACCAACGCACACAAACTATAAAAAAAAAAAACAGAGAAAAACAAAGGACTATTGAATTCTGTTTTCCAGCTTTTAGAAAAATCCCTTTTTCTCAGCCTGGATTTATTTTACAAACCTTAATATCTCCAAACATTTCAGGGAGGTTGTGAGTCTTGGTGCTCAAACTGAAGTGGTAGAGAATGTCCTCCTCCATGGTGTCCAAATAGGGATTTTTCACTTGGACATGTTGCCTAAGACATGAATAGAAGTGAATCTAAAGTCTGGACTAAGTATATGTTCCAAATAGACGATCAAACACAATTAAATAAAGTGTATGTTGAGGAAAAACTGTCATTTACAAACTTACTTGATGTACTCCTGGTGCTCGCCGCCCGTACAGTTAAGAAGAATTGGTGCCATGACTGCGAGCGACGCTTCGAAATTCAGTTTCAAAATTCTTCAAAAGTTGCTTCAAAATCTCCAAGTACTTATTGCGGCTCTTTGTCCAAAAAAAAAGAGTGATATCTGACCGCAGAGCTGATATAGTGGTGACCCCAGACCCTGCCACTGATTGGTTGCAGAGAGAGGAGTTGCACCCATCCCTGCTCTTTCAAAAACATCCACCAGCCCCAAACAAACAGAGCAAGGTCAATCCAATAAAAATTACTGGCCCGCTTCCAAAACATCAGTTCATCTTCCACCAAAAGAAAAAAAAAAAAAAAAAAACTCATACCAGCAGCAGAGAAAAACAATAAGTGACACAAACATGCGGTTATGACTTAACCTTACAAAGGTATGAGCTGGAAATTTATACCGATAGACAATCTGAAGCTATTGAATAACTCACTTGTTGTGACACAGCAGGAAGAAAAGAACACAGAGATAACCTCTGACACTGGTGTGTAACACATTGGCAAATCAAAACAATGACACCCAAAGCACTAATGTAAAGCCAACACGAATCCTGCTGGTGTAGAAATTTCCACCTGTGAGAGTAAATACTGTTTTGGGATGTAAGATGCAGTTTTAAAAAAGAAGAAACAGTCTGAATTGCTTTAAAATTTATTAAAATCGTTTCTTCAAAAAAAAAAAAGCTGCCATTTACAGCGTTACAGACACAGCAACAAGAAAAACAAACTTAACCAGGAGTCAACCGGGGCCTTCTTTACTTAACGGATGCAGTTAATGAGGCACAGCTAACAGGCGCAATAAATAAAAGGTCCTAGCTTTAATTCAATGAAGCGCTTTCACACTTGAGCGCTACATCTAACGTGGCAAAAACAATTCAAACTCAGTAAAATGTTTGATGTGGCTCAGTGTGACCGGCTATGTCAGAGGAAAAGATGGCGAGCGGTCCTGTCGGAAGCGTTTGAGCACGTGCATCCTTTTCCAATGCACCTGGCAGTCCTCCAATCTGTTGACATGGAAATGTAGAAGAGTCATTCAAGTAATGCTCACCGCATAACTCACTAATGCTCCCTGTTAAGAGGCATCATAAATTCTTAATGGCCGAAAGCTTAAAGTTTCACGTGTCAGATTTTGTCACCGTTATTCCGTTGTGGTTATTCATACAACAGTCTCGTAAAATCAATACACTGCTCAGCAGCTTGACTTCATTTCCTTTTATTGTTCTTGAAGTGCATACCGAACGCTTCATGAAGGGAAAATTGAAATTAAAATGTTTCATAGTGACACAGTTGGGACTGTAACTCAAACGCTGCTCCACTTACTTGACACGTCACTGGACTGGTTTGTTTTCTTCCGCGTAGCCGAAGCTCAGCAGCTTGGACATGTCGACGGGGGCTGGTTTCTTGTCAAATGCTCTGTAAAAACACCAAAGACGTAAAATCCGAAATTTGATAGAATCACTATTTATCATAGCTTTTTAATGGAACTCAAAACAGATGGTGGTTTTATCTTTGCACATGTAACTTAATTTGTCCTCACCACAAAGTGCCCATTAGGTCAGCCAGAGGGATTACAGTGGACATGTTCTAAACCCTCACCCTTCCAGTGCTGCACACTAAGATAAACTCTGGCTACTTATTAAAAAAGTATTCTTTCAACAAAGTGCACACAGTCAACAACAGATATTTGCAACTGACAATTTTCCCTTCACCTTGTAGCAAATAAAAAACTGTGTGAAAGTGTTCCATCAAACCCAGTCAGTAAATCTCACATTTAGCTTATTTTCAGAAGAAAAAGAGAAACAAAAATTCTTAGTTTCACTTTGTCACCGTTGTTTCTGGAAATATTTATGTTCTCTTTTCTCTTCCTGCAAGAGTCTGTTTAGCTGATAGCTGGAAATTCTTGCAATAAATTGATTTGTTCTGGATAAAGGGCATCATCACTGGTAGGTTTGCTTGTTTTGACAATTTACATTTTAGATGACTTTTTCACAGCAGATCCCTTGTGATTGTAAAGTGTTGTGTTTCTCCATTACAAGACACCTTCAGTCAACACCTGTTGCTTTAAAGGTGATGTATAAATAACAGACACTTGACTTCACCCTGAGTTCTCTATGACCTCTGTCTCTACTGTCTCGTCTCTGCCGCGTTGCATGTGAGGTTATTTTGGTTTTTTGACAAGTCAATGACATTTTCCAAAAAGTACAGGGAACACACAGCACTGATCAGCTGTGAGCCAAAGCAAATAAGCAAACATCCAGCGTAGTCTGGAAGCCCTTGTTCTCTGTGCTGTCTTATTTGATCTGAGTGTGCAGCTTGAATATGAATATTTCTGCTTTGTCACCACCAGGTGACAAACCAACATGAATTTAACTACAACACCCTCCTAACCTATTATCTTTGGGGTCAATTTGACCCGATTCAATGTTTAACATCTCTGAATAAGTCGTTGACATGGTGTTTTCAGTTTTATTTAAAGGGTTATTTACACATAAACGTGGGTAACAATTGTAATTATGATATTTTCTGGAGGTTTAAACTGCTGGGGTCAAACTGAGCCCAAGGATAAAAGATGTCAGCAGGAGGGTTAAATATGTAGACTTTGATATGTTTGTCAGCCAGCTATCTTGTGTGTCATAATGCAAATAAACTACGCAAATACAAATGCAAACGATTTGGCAGAAGAAAAAAAACCCTGCAGATTAAAAAAACAGCTCACAGCCGTCATAGCAAACGACACTCAGGACAGGTTCAGACTTCTTCACGTCTGACTTACACATGTTCACTGAAACAGGTTTCATACCAGACGCTACAAGATCCTTCCTACTTTGCTTTTGTTGCAAGCAATGGGCACAAAATCCACAGTTCAGGTTTGAGCGGTCTCGGTAGAATAAACACTACAACTCTCTTTGTGTTTCCTTGAGCCGTAGCGGAAGGAGACTAATCCACTTTATTTTTTTAACTCAGGTAGCTAAACATTCTAGCTTCAGCTTTCGAAAACAGTTTTGCACAAAAGAAGAACTGTAGATGTTTGTCCCTCTTCACTTAGAATAAAGGACATTAAAAGCCAAACTTTTACTGGCTGGTATGAAATTACAGCAAGTAAAAAGGTTTTCAGTGTGCACGAAGGCAAGACAAACTTAGAAATGTGTCCTATCCTTTAATTATGCTATAGAGGTACAGGTTTCCAAAGAAATATGTATTTAATAGTGAACTATCCATCCATCTATTATCTATACACCGCTTAACCCTCACTAGGGTCGTGGGGGGCTGGAGTCTATCCCAGCTGACTCAGGGTGAAGGCAGGGGACACCCTGGACTGGTCACCAGTCTATCACAGGGCTACACTTAGAGACAGACAACCAAGCACACTCACATTCACACCTACGGACAATTTAGAATCACCAATTAACCTCAACATGTTTTTGGACTGTGTGGGAGGAAGCCGGAGAACCCAGAGAGAACCCACGCTGCACGGGGAGAACATGCAAACTCCACGCAGAAAGATCCTGGGCAACGATGCTAACCACTGATCCACCTTGCAGCCCTAATAGTGAACTAGTTAGCTGAATTACACATAAAGAATTACTGAGTATAGATTAGAGTAGCTGGATTTTAAAACAGTATAACTGCTCTGTACTTTGTCAATAACCATTCACTTCTTTTAATCAGTGATCCCCGATCAAAATCACTGACAGGCTGTCCTGTTTCTGAGACTGGCATTCGGACACTTTTATGACAGATAATACAGAACAACAGCACCACCTTGTGCCCACATTAACTTACATTCTCTTGAATTTGTTGACCTCAAGACTCTGACTTAACGTCTGCAGTTTCTCCATCTGGCTGTCATGACCAAGGATGTCGCTCTGAACACAAAAGAACACAAAGTCACAGAGTGTGGTGGTGACTGTTTGTTTCCATCTCACTCTTGGCAACTTGGCAGTATGTGCTCTTATTTTGAGTCTATATCCTGAACCACAAAGCAGTTCTGTCTGATCAAGTAACAATTACATCAAGCATGTAACACGATAGCATCTCTAAAAATCCTTCAACTTTTGTCTTAAAAGACGGGATCATAACAGAATAGAATAATGCAAGAGCCAGGAAAAAAATGCAGCCAAAAACCACCTTCTAGATGACTCGAGCATTTCTCTGTTTACCTTCTCCTTTTCATTGCTGCTGTTATTATCCCTCTCCCAAGCTGACATGTTGTCAGTGCCAAAAGGAGGCTCCAGAGGTTGAAAAGCTCCAGGGTTTTTCTTCTCCTCACTGTTAATTAGACTGCTGGAAAAAAAAACACAATACAGACGGAGATATAAAATATATCCTACACATAATGACAGCCTGATCAGATAAAAAAGAAAAGAATTAAGCAATAAAAAGAAGCTCTATGGTGCAAGAATAGTGTGGAAACATTATCAGTAATACTATTGCAGTAGTGGAAGTACTGGCAGTGACAGTATATTCACAATATTAGCGAGTATTACCATCAGACATACTGTGTATAACCTGCATGTATCGTCCAACTCATGCCATACTTAGTGTTTATAATGTTTAGACTGTTCATCCTGTGTATATATCTCATAGCATTCATACTGTTCATACAGTTCTACTATTCATACTGTTCATACCACTGTTTATCTCTACCTGTAGATTTAGATGATCTCTTTTATATTCTATCCACAGCTACACATTCATACACTTGACCAGTGGTTCTCAAACTTCTTGAGCCACGACCCCCAAGATAACATAAGTTTGTGTTCGTGACCCCCCAATTAGAATTTTTAATATATCATGAGTGATAATGTTGTTGTTGTTGCATTAATACGTTAAAATGTAACATGTTAATTCCACAGATTAATCTCTTTACATTAACCACGCAGAAAGATCCCAGGTGTCCTCACCGGGACGTGAACTGGTGACCTTGCTGTGAGGAAACAGTGCTAACCACTGATCCACCTGCGCCACCTTACAGCCCTAATAATAATATGGCATAATCAAATCATAATATTAACAAGTCCCAAAAAGGAGTGGGAAGAAGTATACACTTTTCATTCTGACAGCCTTAATATAAATTTATTTGATAAATGTAGGCTTTATTTATTTATTTAAAAATGCTCTGGCGACCCCCTGAAATTATCTTGGGACCCCCACGGGGGTCCCGACCCACCAGTTTGAAAACCTCTGCATTAGTGTGTTCATAGTACGATGTCTATTCTGTTTCTTCCATAACATACTGTAGATACCATGATGCACTTTACTGCTGCTTTTGTGCTTCTGGTTGAAAACTAAACTACATGTTGTTGTCTCAGTACTTAGACTCTGTGTGAATCTAACCTTGGATCGCTGATGTCTCCAGATCCAGCGGCGAACCAGTCCGGAGGTTTGTATGAATTCGTTTTCAAAATATTTGACTCCTGATGCCACAGAAGTCCTGTTGAACAGAGACAACCAAAAATCTAAATATTAACCAGCCAGAGGGGGGGAAAAAAGGGTGTAAGTATGAGGCAACAACATGACTTTACCTTTATGCCCTCCTTGTTTTGCAAGCTTGACATAGTCAGAATCACTGTCCAGGACTGCGACCCTTCGTCCTCTGGCCTTCTGCTCAGGAGGAGTCTTGATGCTGGGAGACAGTCCAGGGATCTGGGAGATGTGGCTGTTTACTGCCTGGTGGCCTGCTTCCACACCTGTAGGTACACACACACACACACAATTAGGAATAAAACATTACATTTGTATTCATTTTTCCACATAAACAACATAAGCCCATGCACTAACAGCTACACCCAACACCTGTGAACCGAGCAGCAGCATCTTCTCACCAGGGTCCAGCTGCCGATAAGCTACACAGGCTAAGTAACGTACAGCCAAGTGTGTGAACAGCAAATAGTTGTACTTGCCAGGTTGTGTTGGTTGAAGTTCGTTACTCATGACAACTGAGGAATTTCTAGTGGAAATGGAAACAAAACCCGGCACACTGTCAGCCTCTCCAAAGACAGCTTGTGCCATTAGCATCGGCAAAGTTAGTGAGCTAACGTTAGCAGCTAAAGTTAGTGAGCTAACGTTAGCAGCTAAAGTTAGTTGGCTAACGTTAGCAGCTAAAGTTAGTGAGCTAACGTTAGCAGCTAAAGTTAGTTAGCTAATGTTAGCGAAGCTTGAGTTAAACACAAACTGTAACTTTTGCTTGTCTCCATAAAAAAAGAGGTAAAAAACACGGAAATTAAAGTTGAGGTTAAGTTCAGAAGCGTGTAACTTACTCTGAATTCATGGTGGAAGCGGAGCAAAGAAAAATGTGAGCGGAGTCTGTTTGGAAGTTGTTGCTGCGTCTCCATGGGAACCGTCTCAGGAGCGCAGCTGCCGTTCAGGGATGTGGAGGCTCGCTGCTCCGCTGCTGGCTGAGTCCAGCAGTGGTGACACAAACACAAGCAGGTAAAGCTGTGAACTAAACCCCACGCTCAAATTACACACATAAAAATGAGCATAGCCTATGTATAGCCCAGAAAAACAACAACAACAACAAAAACATCACAGATAGGAAATTACAAGTAAAAGTCAGGCATTAAGTTTTCCTTAAGTAAAAGTAAAAGAAATAGGATTACAAAATGAAAAAATAAAAAAGTAATTACTCATTGTGCAGAATGTCCCATTTCAGAAGATTATTTGTTACACATTGTTTAAAAAAAAAATCTATAATTTTATAGAATTATTCCATTTTAGGTTGTTTCATAATTTTTTTCCTGTATTTTTGAACACATACAACGACCAGCACAGTGAACTAAACTGACTGAAACGACATGTCTAATGTAAACTAACATTAAAAACCTGCAATAGTGAATCATGAATGATGAATGTATTTTTTTAAACACAAAAATACTCCTAATTCTCAAATTTATCACAATTTCACAAATATTTCCTTTTTATAAAATAACAGATCAAAGTGTTATTATCGAGTTTAATACTGTAGATATAATTCTAATATTAGTTACAATTATTATCTATATAAATATACATAAACTGTAGTATATATTTCAGTATTTTTTGGTGTCATAGCTGCTAGAATATTAGAATTTATTTTCCAGTTTTTTTCTTTGTTTTTTATGTTGTTGTTTTTCTTTTCTTTCTTTCTTTCTTTTTTTTTTAACAGTGTAGCCTTGTGTATGAGCCTCACTGTAATGTGGTATTGATAAAAATGAATTAAAAAAATATTTTTTTAAAAATCATTTTTATTAATATATATAAATGTATATATAATTTTTTTCTCATTATTATTAATCCAAATCTTGAAACTGCTGTGTTTATCTGTACATTAGTGCTGCACATGTACACAGATGTCTGAAGAATTGGCTGCTGAACTGATGTTGTTGACTTAGTAATGGTTCAAAAGAAATCGTGAAGGCATGGCAGCCTTTTCTCATCTAGAAATACAAATCTACTTTTCATTTTATTGCAGATAAATCAGTGTATATTCTCTATGGTACATACAGCTTTAATTTTAGTCGTCTCCATAATTAAGGTAACAATTAGCTCACTGTTTCATTAGTTGGTTCTCTTATTTTGTTTCTATCTATTTAACTCTCTAGATATGGGACTGTTTGTTTGTTTGTTTCTTTGTTTTTTTGTACAAGTATTTAAAGGTTTTGCATCACCCATTTAAACCAAGCTAAACATGCTTTCTAGGAATATCTGTGATCAAAAGTCTGTTGAGGAATCTTTTCCTGTTAGTATTCTAACAAACACCTCTAAGGAATAAAACAAACAAACAAACAAACAAACAAGTAAGTGCTTTGATGTTTTTTTTCAGTTTGCCAACCATGCCTGCTGCTAAACATACTCATCACCTCTGTGGCCCCAGAAGTGTCCAAAGGCTTGAACTCTTCTCTCCCAGACTGCTGAGAACATGCGCAGAGCAAACTAAACAGCAAAGGGCCTTTAAATAAGGAGCGAGTCAAGCTGGCGGCAGAGAACACGTCCGTGACCGGAAATGTAGACTTTTGCTACACAATAAAACAAGACGAATGAATGGCTAAATAAATAAATAAATACACCTAAAACACTTAATCAGTGAACATTAGGATATATTAATTTGCTTTTCAGTTTATTATATTATAGTAAGGGCATTTTATGAGGTATTTCACAAATCTGCTAACTAAATCATTACCAAACAGTTCTTCACCAATATGTTTGTAAAGGTGTATAATAACTTGTTTTAAAATGTTAAAGTTCAACTCCAGTGGGAAACCCTGAAAAAACCTGCTCAAGTTAGGTTACCAATAAACGATTGTCGAAAAATAGATTTTTAAAAAAAAAATTAGGCCTTCAGTAACTTATGAGGGTTAAATCAGGTGTTTTTTTTTCATGATTCTGAGTTGATCGTTAGCATTTATGTTTCACCACAAACACTCTGTTGTTGAAAAAGCCACACTCATGTTTACATTTATATTCACAGTAGCTTTTATTTCACACACTTCACACACTTATATAACACTCAGAGTCATTTCTCATTCACAGTGTCAGAAGCTTCTAGAGTCATTGTCTATGTCTTCTTCAGACTCAGCAACACCATGACTGCAGTTTCTACATGTGATGCCTTACAGCCATAGGGTCAAGTGTTGGAACTGGCTCATACCCATGCACACCTAATGTCCATCCATAGCCACTGGGGTTCAGAGACCTGCTCTGTAGAAGGATCCCGTCCTGGTCTACAGGTAGACGCGGAGTGAATGCTGAGCAGCTGCACCCTCCATTGGAGGTAGAGTCTCAGGTTTGATCACTCCTGCCGCTGCCTTCCTTGAGAACATCCATCCATTATCTATACACCGCTTAATCCTCACTAGGGTCATGGGGGGCTGGAGTCTATCCCAGCTGACTCGGGGTGAAGGCAGTGGACACCCTGGACAGTTACAGTCTTTACTTACCCTCTAAATGTGTTCACATGAGCGTGCTCAGAGCGTGAACCCAGTTTCCTGCACTGCAACTTTTCTGTATGATTGCGTTGCACACTTTCATTTTTGTAAATTTGAAGAATTTTGTAAATATACAGAATAAAATACATAAAATATTCTGTCTTTGATGCTGCTGTAGAAACAAGGGGGCAGAAAGAAGAGTATCCTGGTAGTAAATTATACGGAGATGAAAGGAAATATTTAAGAATTTTAAGAGTGATGTTGGAAGACAATCGATATTTCCTGCAGGAAAATTCTGAGGCGTGCAGGTAAGATAGTGGCCGATCCCTCCCACCCTGTTCACAAACGAAACACTCCCCTCTGGCAGGAGGCTTCGGTCATCAGGACCAGAACCTCACACCACAAGAACAGTTTCTTTCCATCTGCTACGGGGCTCGTGAACAATGGGCAGGACCCCCACTGACCCCCCACACCCATCACCTCCATAGACTACCTGCATAAATGTAAATAACTACATTGCTACTGTTTGCACTGTTTCACTGTTATTTTTGTATTTATATTTGCGTCTTCTTCTTTTTCTATATTATTGTTGCACCAACCCACCAGAACAAATTCCTTGTATTGTGTAAACTGTACCTGGTGATAAACCTGATTCTGATTCAGAGAGAAAAATAATTCTTATAGAAGCAAACATATGTCCTGTAAAGAGGATAGATATAGATAGGATATGGAGAAATAATGTGATATTTCTGATGTGGTTTATTTTATTTATTTATTTTTCTTTATATTAGATACTCAGTGAGCTTTTGAATTACCCCTAGGGTTAAATTAAATTAAATTAAATTAAATTAAATTAAATTAAATTAAATTAAATTAAATTAAATTAAATTAAATTGAATTGAATAAAAAAAAAGGATTTTATCTGGGAGTTGGAGTGTCTGTTACATAATTAAATACATTATTTGTTCTTAACAAAAAAAAAACAAACAAACAAAAAATCTAAATTCTTCTTGGACTTGTCACTGGACCGTGTTTTATTGTGAAAGGCGCGACCGGAAGAGCGTGTCTCCGCCGCGCGGCTGGACGCCGCCGCCGCCGCTCCGCAGGGTAACTTCCTCATCCAATCCTGCTCTCTGCTCTCCAAACGCCGCCGCCGGAGTTGTGAAGCCCAGACGCCGCTAATGTGTGAAGCAGGACAGCGTTACAAAATGTGTCTCCATTTTTGCTCTCCGCCGAATACGAGCGTCGAGTGAGTTTTTACTTCTTTTTTTTTTTTGCAATTAAAAAAAAAATTTAAAAAAATTATAATTATTTTTTTAACAACGACTGAACGGCGGACGGTGATGTTGGCGTCATGTAGCCTCCGCTTTTCAGACTTCGGACAACAAATCGGGTATTGTCGGTGAATTCTCGGGAGATGGCAGAGTAGTTCGACCTGCGCCCGTTTACCGAGCCCTCGAAAAAAACAAAGAAGGCACTTTAAAGAAAAAAAGGTAAGTTCATTAAACTCTGAAATGTCATTTTTAAAGGCACTTTGTAGCCGCCGAGCCTCCGTTTGAACGAACGCAGTCGGTGGAAAAGTTTGCTGGAAAACGCTTCGTGACGTGTTTTCACAAGACTCCCTCTGAGCTTAGAAAAAAAATAAAAATACTTTCTGTTGTCGTAGCCACATACATTTAACTCAACGTATATTTAATGTCTTCTACTGCATGAATAAACAGTCTTATTTTACATGTGTGACTCGGGGAGATGTTGTTTGCTGATAACCGGTGATGAGCGCCACGCATCTTTATTTCACAATCAAGGCCACAGCATCGCAACTAGTTGTGACTTTGTTGGGAATCTTCTTTTCTTTTTATTGTCATGCTAACATCCACTGGGAGGGCGTCTCATCATTGCTTGCAGAGCACTTTTAACATCACAATCACAGCCTCACCTTTTTGGAGGAGGAGGTGGGGGGAGAGAATGAGAAACACTCAGCAGCTTTAACATGGTTGGAGTTTTAAACAGCAGCAGCAGCAGAGAAATACTGGAATATAAGCAGTGTTGCTCTCTTGCAAGTGTTTTGTTGACATGCTTGGGAGGAATAATCAGAGCAGGCAGGAAATAAGTGTGTGTGTGTGTGTGTGATAAGATTGCAGAGGGGGCAGTCAAATGTAAAGCCGGTAGACTTGCTGATGAGAGGGTGTAAACTTCATTACAGAGGTGTTAATTCTAGCCGAAAACATTCAGAGATAATCGTGCTGATTGCGAGATGTGTGAATGAGCATGTCTCACACTTAAGTGTTTCTTCCTCAGAATCAATTCGCAGTGATGGATCCATAAAAAAATTACATTCCCACACACTGATTAGTTGTTTTTTTTCTTCCATCACTGGGAGTCCAAATATCTGGAAATGATTTTGAATGTTG